CTAGAGACTTTTACTCAGTGCAGTTCAGGTTGTTGAGTAATTGGCTTTAACACAGCAAATGAAGAGCTGTTAGACAGCACCATCTTGTAAGGAAATTTTAGCCCGTCAGAGGCTTCGAAACATAGTAACACGGGAGATTCTGGACTCTTCATAGCCGGTATTATCCTTCGTACATATTGGCGCAAAGTACGGACGGGAAATAGACGGCACCACACCTAGACTAGGCTCCGTATATGCTTCGAGACGGTCAATAATAATTAAAAATAATTATAATATTTTTATTAATCTCAATATTAATAATAATAATATAGTTGTGTTAGAGCTCTTCTTCAGGACTCCACTCATCAGAAGTTTTAGGAAACAAAGCTTTTTTTAGAATTGATTAATACAGACTTCAGCGTATTATTAAGTGTTTTGTTGCCTACACAAGATAGTGAACAAAAATTACAATAATTATGGCTCAATAAAACAAAAAAATTCTTGATTCTGTACTTGATTGTGAAATTCTTGCTCATGGAAATCTAAAATAATGATAATAAGCATATTAAAACAACATAATATAATATACCTGATCTCTCAACATATGGAGAAGGTGCATTACTTGATGGTGCTATAAAAATAATGTAAGTATACATGTATAGATCTAGATTATGAAACTTTGTGGCTGGGATAAAACAGTTTGAGATAAATGTACTTTACTTTGATAAATAACTTCTATAATGTCACTATAATAACATTGGAAACATAAATTCTGTACCATTTCTTGATTTGACAGCCCATTTTGGTGCATCCATGGGAGAATCTATGTTTACTGAATCCTTTTTATTCGTTTATGATGAATAAAGCATGTCCTTCGCTTTGATAAGGATTTATTCCTTTCAATACGTCCTTCTAGTTTATTAATTAAGCTATTTAAAGCTATAGCAAAAAATGAATTACTTGAAAGTGAAAAATTACCATCTGATCTCTATGATAACCTATGCACCTTGTAAACTACACCCTTATCCCTCATCATCATCATAATCATCAGAGCTCTCCAATGACATGTACTGGTAACTAATTTGCTTCCAATAGTCCCTTTCCTTTCCTTTTAGGACATTTTCACGTCTATTGTATAGCTTTAGTGATAAAAGAGTAAAATGGTTAAATTAATTTTAATCAGTGTATTTATTATTGAGTTACATGTACACATGATTAAAGCAAGATTTATTATCAAGGGATAAGTAACTTGGGTTTAGATTTACACAGATAATTTTTCAACAACTGCATGTTAACATGCAGGTGTTATAAAGTGATGGCTAATTATGGCACATCTATTAACCTATCAATATGTTCTGTAGTTTTTTCTGTAGGACATAACTTTATGGATGTTACGTATAGTGCACATGTACATTACATGCATTCACATTCAATAATTTAAAATTTCTCTCAATGAAACTCACTGCTCTTTGTCTCTGTGAAAGTTTTGTTTTATGATCATTAATATACTTCTTTTCAGCTCTTTT